ATTATTGGTGCCAAGCTAGCAAAGGGCTTTAGCTTGTTTTTCCTTGAGTAGTAGTTTGTCATATTCAAGCATTCTGTTCTCTTGAAACTCTTCTTTTAAAAAGTAAACACTTCCACAAAATGTTATTTTGGAAGTTTATTAATATGATCCCAGATTTTTTTCTGGTTTCTAAACATTACAAGGGGAGGAAAATTTTAAAAAGCTCAGGGCAGCTTTTGTCCCACAGTGTTAGCTATCTTTTATTTTACTCTTGGAAACAGAAACTTCTCCAGCATTTTGACATTTTAGGAACCCAGTTTTACCATTGTGTCATTAAAACAATGAGCTAGTTTGAGAGCATATAGTCTAAATGAAGACATTTTTAAGGTTATTTTGAATTCTAGAAGTTGGTAATAGCCAGTTAGCATATTCATCCCTTAACAGACAAAAATATATTTGTCAAATGAATGAGAAAATATTAAAATATTTTTTCCAGATAAATGAAGCAAAATGACGCCTACACCAATAGAATAACTAATGAAACATAAGAAACATTCTGGAAAAGTGGTTTATGAATCTTTTTTAAAACCCCATCTATAAATACTGTATAGTTAAGATTGCTTTCAACACCTGACAGAGTAGGTAGGTTTTTGATCTTTCTGGGTAATTGCAAATGTGCACATAGAGACCAAAATAAAATCAGAGCATCAATTGGTAATTCACTAGAAGTTTCTGGGCAGATAGTCCGAAAAAGCTGTTTACCTCTAAATGCAGTGTGGCTGGTTAAATAAAGTGAACATCCTTCTTCCAACTGTAGAGGATTAGGAAGGATACATACTAAGCACTAGCCAGGCAGTAATGAAGCTAAATAGCTTTACAGAGGCTCTGTTTGAAAATGCTGTGCTGAAAAAAAAAAGAAAAAAGAAAATGCTGTGCTGGATGCCACAATTTGCTTTAGAGATCAAAGTGCAGATGTAAGGATTTCAGAAAAAAAAATTTGACACCAAATAAACATGAGTAGCATTACATGTCCTGTGAAGAGAGCCAGAAAAAAAAAAAGAAAAAAGAAAATGCTGTGCTGGATGCCACAATTTGCTTTAGAGATCAAAGTGCAGATGTAAGGATTTCAGAAAAAAAATTTGACACCAAATAAACATGAGTAGCATTACATGTCCTGTGAAGAGAGCCAGAATTTCAAAGGAGTAAGGTTTAGAAATGAATGAAGTCATCTCAGTTGCTTGACTCCCTCATTCTTGTGTGTGTGACCTTCATGTATGTATCACGGGGATGTCCACATATTCAGCTCATGGCAGTTACGTTAGCCTGGGGTTAAACTCTGGCCCTGGGAACTGACTCTACTGGGCCACTGGTTCTATGGGGCTTGCTTTCGTCTTCACAGTCCACACAGATAACAGAAATCTAAGTTCTGAAGAACTTTTGTGAAATACAAATGAAACAAGAATTCTGAGGAAAACCCTTTGGTTTCTGCTGTCTCAAATATGTGGCATCTTTAAAAAATAATTATTAATAAGTATTTGTAATAGTTTTAACTCGTAATGTTTTCTATATCTTTGTCACCTTTTACAGCCTTTGAAGACCAAAGTGCGAACACATTAGCACGCATGGTTTTGTTTTGTCCTGTAGACTTATTAAATTTGACGAAAAAATTCAGCAGAACTAGTTGCCAAATCTTTGTTTGAACTTTAAGTCAAAATGTGTTACGGGCCGGCCCGGTGGCGCACTGGAGAGTGTGCCGNCGACACCGAGGGTTGCGATCCTGTTACCGGTCAGTAAAAAAGACAAAAAGGAAAAAAAATGTGTTACTAATAAAAGATCTATTGTTTTTACCTTCAGTGTGAACTACTGTGGCGATAATTTTGAAAAGGCAAACATGATTGAATAACTATCTGAAAAGCCTAAAAAGTTACATATGTGGCACAGCCGGCTCAGGAGGACCGAACACTTTTATTGTCTTGTGTCCTATACATCATGTCTGATGCCACCAGAAACACGTTATGGATTTATTGAATAACTATCTGAAAAGCCTAAAAAGTTACATATGTGGCACAGCCGGCTCAGGAGGACAGAACACTTTTATTGTCTTGTGTCCTATACATCATGTCTGATGCCACCAGAAACATGTTATGGATTCTGTATTTAACACACTTAGCGTGGTATGAGCCTGCAGGACTGCACCACAGAGTAAACATAAACTTTATATGGTGGCAAATGTGTGTGTCTTCTATTTTTCATTTGGGTTTGGGGACAAAGTTGATGTATTTGTCTCAATAGCTGATATTCATTTTAACATGGTGGGCTGTACAATCTCCTACTATACATTGAGAACTGTGCAAACAGAATTATTTATATATAGTTACCTTTGAGTACCTGAAATTCCCAAGCTCACCTTCAGTGGTAATACTCAGTATAAGGCTGTGCAAACATGTAAAAGAACAATGGGTGGTAGACAGAGTGTACAAAATGGGAACTAAAGGGCTTACTTTGCTCATGTTAAAATAACATGGGTTTGGTGTAGGTGAAGTACTGTAGCGTGAGGGGTATGCAGTCATAGAATGAAGGCTAGACAGGAGATTACATCTGAAAAAGGGTAAGAACTCAGACTTGGTTTCTTTTAAATTAAAATGTCTGTTTTCTCATGTGCAAAGCAATGCATATCGAAGACTTGAACAGGTATTCTCTCTAAACTTGAGGATTTTTAGTTTTTAATGCTGTCTTTTTGCTATACAATGCTAACAAAGGAGGAGCAGGATTATCTATTTAAGACAGCAGACTTCAAAGCAAGGAAAGTTACCAGAGATTTTTTTTAATGGCATTACATCATAATATAAAGGTTAATTCTCCAGGCCTATAATCCAAATGTGTATTACTGTTCTTATTTTTATTGATAGAAAACCAAGGACAACAAAGAGAGGGAATGACAATCCATATTCAGAGGGTGGAATATCAGGCACTGATTCTCTCCTCGCAAGCTCTGCCAATCATCCTGTGTTTAAAGGAACACCAGAATATCATACTTGTATATTTTTAAGCTAGAGTCCTGGGACCCAGGAGTCTGAGGAAGGGAGGTTATGCATGCCAAAATCAAAGGCATTCACACCAACAGCGTACAAAGGTTTCCATTTTTGCCAACACTTGGTTTTTATTGATTATAAAGTGATATTTAATTGTGGTTTTGATTCACATTTCTCTAATGATTACTGTTTTCACAAGCTAGTTAGCCATTTGTCTTTTTTTCTTTTTCTAGCAGCTGGCTGGCGCAGGGATCGAACCCTGGGCCTTGTTTCTATGAGCACCGTAGGTTGTTAGCCATTTGTATATCATCTTTGGAGAAATGTTTAATCAAGTCCTTTGCCCATTTTTTAATCAGATAATTTGTTTTTCTGTTGTTTAGCTGCAGGAGTATTTTATGTATTGTTGATGTTAATTTTTAATGAGATATGATTTGCAACTATTGCACTTTGGGGGTGCTAAGAGTATTGTGTGTTTTGTTTCAAATTATACTTGGTCATTGCTGGTATACAGAAAAGTGATTGACTTGTGTATATTAACCTTACATTGTGCAATCTTGCTCTAATCACTTGTTAATTCCAGGTGTTTTTCGACTGTTTACTTGGATTTTCTACATAAGTATGTCATCTGTTGACAAAGACAATTTTATTTATTTTTTCCCAATCTGTATATTTATTTCATTTTCTTGTGTCATTACATTAGCAACACGATACTTTTAGTACAATGTTTTTAATATATTGGTGAATAGGGGAGAAAGAATTAACTATGTGCCAATTACAATCAACAGAATTTCACAACTACATGTAAAAGTTTTCATAAGCACGACAAATGTCAACCTGATGGACCTCAGCAAAGTTGCTGGCACTGAGAGGCTGTGTGAATCATACAAAGGAACTGCCTTGAGCTCATGAGACTATGTTTTAAATTTTTACATCAGTCTGTTATTTATACATAGGCATAGTACTGTTTTCATCCATATTTTAAGAAACTAGGAGTAAAAGTGTGATTCGGCCTAATTTCCCCATTTTAAATAATGGAAATAGGCTCCTACTAATTTGCCATGGAATTTATGATTTTCAAGAACAGATTACGTAAGAAAAAACGTATTATTAGCCCAGTGAGTTCACATAATCCACAAACAGTGTTGGGGGAAAAAGGACAGGCATGATCAAGGCAAAGGTTTCTAAAACAGTGTTTATTCTAAGTTGACTGCAGTTCCTCAAGTTGATCTCAACAACAAACATGAGTTTTGACTTAATTGTGGCAAGACAAACACTAGTCCAAAAGTCAGGATGCCTCACTTCTACAAATCATATAACCCCACCATTCCCCTAGGCCTCCCACCATCCCCCAGACCTTTCCATCCCCTTAGGCCTCCCAGCATCCCCTCCAGGCCCCACCATCCCTCTAGGCCCTCCAGCATCCCCTCCACACCCCACCATGCCCAGCTGCCCTTCCCCCTCCTGCATCCCCTCCAGAACCCACCGTTCTCCAGGACCCCACCTCTGGACCTTCTGCCCCTTTCTCAGCCCAGCCCTCATCCCGCCACCTTCTTCCAGCCCCTGGTGCTTCGGGGAGAGAATGGATGATCATCGCGTCAGCCATGGCGGGCAGACAATGCCCAGGGAGAGCCCGAAGGGCTCTGGCTAGCGCCTCCGCTCTCCTTACGCGCTGCAGGCGGCTGGAAGACTGCGAGACTCAGGCCCGCAGTGAGCGAGAGCGGGAGACGCGGAGAGCCCGAAGGGCTCTGGCTAGCGCCTCCGCTCTCCTTACGCGCTGCAGGCGGCTGGAAAACTGCGAGACTCAGGCCCGCAGTGAGCGAGAGCGGGAGACGTCAGACGCCACCCAGGGCCAGTAAAAAGTAATGCGACTGCGGCGCTGCGTGAGAGCGCACTGAGCGCGCATGCGTACAGGACGGGAGGACCAAGACAAGGTCCGGAGGGAACTCCGGGCCCTCGGGCTCTGGTTCCGGGCCTGTGCCTCTCCGTTTCCGGTCCGGCCGAAGTGAGGCTCGGGGCATGGGCATCCTGCCGGGCCTCGAGCCCTCCGCGGATAGCCTGCAGTCCAGTCCTTGCTCCCCGGGCCCGGCCGGATGGACCGCGAGACGCGCGCCTTCGCCGAGCGCCACTTCCGAGGCCTCGGGGGCCGCGTCTTGGACGGCGGCGGCCGGGCTCCGGGCAGTGTGGCCTTCATCAAGGATCCCGACGCCTTCTCCTACGCCGACTTCTTCAAGGGCTACCTGCTGCCCAACGTGCCCTGCGTGTTCTCCAGCGCCTTTACCGAGGGCTGGGGCAGCCGGCGGCGCTGGGTGACCGCCGCGGGGAAGCCCGACTTCGACTACCTGCTCCAGAAGTACGGTGAGGGCCGGCCCCGGCCTGGAGCACGGGGCGGAGGTGCCCAGACCCCCGGCCCGGGCGGAGTGCAGTGACCGAGCCCGTTATGGAGGGTGGGGGCGGCCAGGCATGAATGGTCCCGTGAGGAATTCGCCTGCAGAAGGTTTGGAGGACAGACGACGTGGAGGACTCTCAGCAGAGTCTGTACCTGATCCTGTCGTTTCAGGAGACGTGGTTGTACCCGTTGCAAACTGCGGGGTCCGGGAATACAATTCGAACCCCAAAGAACACATGCCCCTCAGAGACTACATCAGCTACTGGAAGGAGTACATCCAGGGGGGCTACTCCTCTCCGCGGGGCTGTCTCTACCTCAAAGACTGGCATCTCTGCAGGTAAAGGAGTGTGGGGCTCTGGCTTGGCACCACCATCCCTAGACCCAAAGGAACCCGGAGACGTTTTTGTGGAGGCGGCCCCAGGCTGCCCATAGACGAACCTTTCCTTTTCCAGGCTAGAAACCTACTTGGAAGCGTTCTCTTTTCGGAAGGTCGATGCCTCACTATGCTTGCATGGTGTTGACCACCATAAGAAACACAGACAGGCTGTGGTCACGCACCTTTTTACCGTGTTTGCCCAGAGTTGTCCCTGATGGCTCCTCTTCACCCTCCCGGTCTAACCTGCAGCACCTACTCACTGCTGCCTCTTAGACGCCCCTAGAACGGGCCTCCACTCTCCTCCTCGCTTCTCCAGGTCAGGCCTGTCCCTTTCTTGCCTTGACTGCTTCCAGGGTCTCCTGACGTCCTGCTCCCCCTTGCTAGGCTCTCCAGAGACAGTCCAGGTGATCTTTCTAGCATAGCTGTGTGCCACACCAAGTTTAAAATCACCAACTCTTTAACGTGGCATCCAGAGCCCTTCCCAATCTGCCCCCACCTACAACACACTCATCCCGGGAGCTTTGCCTGCCCCAGAGACCCAGCTCAAACGATGCCTTCCCTGGGAAACATACCTGTTCCCTCTCCTGCCCTCTGTTCCCCTTCTCCAAGGCAATGCTCCAGTGTTGCGCCTGTTCACCCACTCAGGGGTGTACTTTTCACCAGCAGAAACATCGCAGTCAGACCCCCACCAGTTGACAGAGCATAGGTACTCAGTTAATGGTGAGTGAATAGTCAGTCAAATTCTTGTCTCACGGATGTGGAAACTAAAGCTCAAAAAGGTACAATGAGATAGAATTTGGGCCCCCGTAATTCCCACAAGCAATCCAGAGTGAGTGCATGAGAAGCACCTAGCACCTGCACCACGACTCATTTCTGCCACACCACTGCTTGTTTGGCAGAGAGGGCTGGCCCAGGTGGGCTTTGGGTAAGGAACAACCAGACACTGGTTCTGGCTCTCAAGGACCTCCTGTTCCACTAGCAGAGATGCACACATAGTCTCAAACACTGCCATGCACTTTGGATTTGGGTTTTAGATAAGGTACAAGTGCTTTTTCTGGTGTAAGTGTATCCCACATATTGCATGGAACATACTTACACTAGAAAATTGTTCATTGTTGGGCCGGCCCAGTGGCTCACTCGGGAGAGTGCGGTGCTGATAACACCAAGGCCCCGGGTTCGGATCCCATATAGGGATGGCCGGTTCGCTCACTGGCTGGGCGTGGTGCTGACAACACCAAGTCAAGGGTTAAGATCCCCTTACCGGTCATCTTTTAAAAAAAAAAAAAAGAAAATTGTTCATTGTTTATTTGAAATTCATCTTTGATTGTGTGTTCTGTGTTTTATCTGGCAACCCTAAAAACTAAGGGCAAAGGAAGGCCCAGTGTCAGGTAGTCAGGGGAAGACACAGGGAGGTGATATCTGAGCAGGGTTCTTTTTTGGGGGGAGAGGGGGGTGGCTGGCCAGTAACTGGGTCTGAACCAGTGATCTTGGTGTCATCAGCACCACACTCTCCCAAGCAAGCTAACTGGCCAGCCCCCTGAGCAGGGTTTTGAAGGATGAATAAGAGTTTGACAGGTGTACAAAGGCATGGCAGGCAGAGAAACCAACATGGTATTTTGGGAAACTATGGTGGTTTGGTGCTCCTGGGGCTCTCCTCTGTCATCATCTCTGGTCAGGAGTCATGCGTGAGTGAATCCAGAAGCTTTTTCCAGTGTGGCGTTGGTAGAGTTGTGCCTTCCCTGGGCTGGTGTAATTGATTCCTATGTTCGGGTTTCCGTTAGTGGGGTCCTGGGGATGGACCCCAGGAGAGTGAGGGGTTGAGAGGGTAAACAGGTGGCCCTCATAGCTGGGCCTGCAGCCTGGCATCCACTGTGCAGAGTTCAGGTCGCTAGCGTCAGTGAAAAAATGAAGGCCCACAGTTCAGGAACCAGGAAAATGCTGATGATGCATTAGGGCATCGCTCAGCTCAGCCAGAAACCGAACTCCCAAGACGGGTTCAAGAGGCGGCTGTCGTGTCACAAGTCACCGCAAAGCCATCTTGTTTGCTTAGGATTCTGTCATCAGTAATTTGGATGGGGCTCAGCTTGGATCCTTCAAGGGGCTGCATCATCTGGCATCTCCACTAAGGCTGGGGGTCTAAGGTGGCCCCATTCACACCATTCCAAACCTCTCTTGACATCTCACCTGGAGCATCAGTGAGAGCTGGGTGCAGGGAGGTGGGCTCCTGCCACTCCTGCCACAGCTTCCTGCCACAGCATCATGCCACTCCACAGAGACTCCTCGGCAGAGGACGTGTTCACCCTGCCTGTGTACTTCTCGTCTGACTGGCTGAATGAATTCTGGGATGCCTTGGATGTGGACGACTACCGCTTCGTCTACGCGGGACCCACAGGCACCTGGTATGCCACATGGGGCCCACAGGTACCTGGTAACAGGTGGGGTGGGAGGTGTGGCCACCACCTGGCTCACAAGACAAGGTTATTAGGAAAAGGGGCTGCTTAGTTGAGGTGTTAGAGCTGGGGACTATTGTCCTGTGTGAGTAAGGGCCCCCCCTTCATTTGGAGGTCTTGGGGGTGCTGAGCTCATCCAGACTGCTCAGAAGCAGGGAAGCCCACACTAGCCCCTGCCAGGCACAAAGCAGGAGCTCTCCCCACAGGTCCCCATTCCACGCCGACATTTTCCGCTCCTTCAGCTGGTCGGTCAACATCTGCGGGCGGAAGAAGTGGCTCTTCTTCCCCCCAGGGCAGGAGGAGGCCCTGAGGGATTGCTACGGCGGCCTCCCCTACGATGTGACCTCCCCTGCACTCCTCAACACCCACCTGCACCCACTGCATCAGTACAGCAGCCCGCCCCTGGAGGTGACGGCCCTGGAGGTCACGCAAGAGGCTGGCGAGATGGTATTTGTGCCCAGCGGGTGGCACCACCAAGTTCACAACCTGGTGAGGCAGGCACACCCCACCCACGACATGCCTGAGCCTGCCTAGGCCCCTCCTGGCCCACAGCCTCTTTCTCTTACAAAAAGAGGGCAGTGCTGCCCATCCCAGTGTCTCTCTCAGAGAGGTGGGACATGGGACACAGCTTCTGGCAGCATTGCTGATGCCCCAGCTCCTCTGTTTCACTCTGTGCCACATTCCTTCCCTGGGTCTACATGCTCTGGGTCAGTTGAGGGCTAGGACCCCACAGTGTGTTCCCAAGTCGCCCACCCGGGGTCCAGGGCCTGGCACAAGAGGCCCTGGTGAGTGCTCACAGACCAGGTGGGGGCAGTGTCCACTGTGGACTCCTGGACCAGCCTGTGCTTTGCCCGTTCCAGGATGACACCATCTCCATCAACCACAACTGGGTCAACGGCTGTAACCTGGCCAACATGTGGCACTTCCTGCAGCAAGAGCTCCACGCTGTGCAGCAGGAGGTCAGCCAGTGGAGAGACTCCATGCCCGACTGGCACCACCACTGCCAGGTGGGACAACTGCCTGGGACAGAGGCAGGGGCAAAGGAGAGGCTCCCGAGGCCTGGATGGGAGGTCAGGGGTAGCAGGGGCGGGGGAATCACCAGGGCCAGGACTTGTGGTGGGGCACAGGTCTAGGTCTTAGGTGACAGCCTGCATTCTCAGGGAGGGTATGACCTGTAAGGCTCAAGCTAAGGATGGTCACCAGCTGGGAGTGTGAGGGCATCAGTCTGGGGGCTGGGGCAGTCACCAGGGCCAGGCTCCTGTGTCCTGGGGAGGCTTGCAGGCTGCATGACTCAGACCCCTCTGGTCTCCGTCTGACCTCTCAGTGCCTCTCTCTTACTGGTCTCACGCCCTTCAACCTCAACAACTGGGCCCATGTTTGGGACCCTTTGTGTTCCGGGCTCTGACCTTGGTTGTAACAAACCTGGCTGGGCTGTGAACACCCAGTGGCTTACTGGCCTGTCTCCTATCTGGCCCAGGTCATCATGAGGTCCTGCTCGGGGATCAATTTTGAAGAATTTTACCACTTCCTCAAGGTCATTGCTGAAAGGAGGCTCCTCATCTTGGGGGAGGGAATGGAGGGGCACATTGCGGCCACTGGGCTGGGCCCCCAGCAGGCTGCTTTTGACATTGCCCGCATCGCAGAGGTGCTGACATCTGTGGTCCAGCACCCAGACTTCCAGAGAGTGGACACCAGTGCGTTCTCGCCGCAGCCAGAGGAGCTGCTGCAGCAGCTGGAGGAGGCCGTCGCTGCCACTGCATCCCTTTAGCACCTGCTGGAGGATGGGGCGCCCTGGAGGCACCAGCCAGAAGGCAGCCTCCCTGCTCTAGGCCCCACCCAGAAATAAAGACAGCCTTCATCCCTGTGGCCTGGGACATGCTCCCTTCTGAGCCTTCTGACCTGGGCATCCGCAGCAATGGCTCTTCCTGTGAGGTTCTGATGGGATCATAGCCGCCTATGGCCATTTCCTAGGTCCATTTTCTTTTCTCAGACCCTCCCAGCCTCCCCTCAGGTGAAGGCCAGGACACTGGAGCCTACAGGATCCAGCCTGCCTGCCTCTGGAGGCTCCTCTGTATGACCCAGCCGCGTGCCCTGGTCACATGCTCACATGCAGCTACCCCCAGCCCTCTTCACCCTCTGGCTGTCTCCCTGGGCCCCAGGGCCCCAGGGCAGCAGCAAGCCAAGGAGTTGGGCATGATGCTACAGGTCCAAGTTAGGCATGTTCAACTGGATGTAGTTCACGTCTGGAGGCACAGGAGCTGGGCGGCAGAAAATCTTCAGGTCCTGGTCCAGTCAGGTGCCCAGGTTGGAAGAGATGGTGCTGGAGGAGGTGGGTGTATGGGCAGCAGAGTCAGAGGCCTGGAGTTCCTTTCCCCACAGCCCCTCACAATACCATGTGGGCACTGGGCTCCTATACAAGCCCATCCATAGGTCAGTCCCCCACCTTAGCCTAAAGGACTGTCCTGGTGGTGGCGGGACTGTCAAGAGTCTCCATCAGAGGGAACTCTGTTAGTGGCCACCTCTCCCTTTGCTCAGGGAAGCCCAACACTCCACTGCCTGAATCCTGGACAGGGTGGGGCGGTACCTGCTCTGTTCCTTGCATTGGCTACACATAGTAGGTGCTCCATCAGTGTCTAAGGGAGGGAAGAAGTGGAGTCTGCCCCCTGCCCAGCCTTCACAGGGACCCCACAGCACCTCGGCCTGTAGCTCACACACCAGGGTGCTGCCCTGTTCTGTGGGTCTCATCTTTCCACTGACGCAATTCTGAGGAACAGCCACTGCAGCAGCCCCAGCCCCACCTGCAGCTGGGCACAGAGAACTGAAGGTCATGGCACATATGAGCAGGTTGCTCACTACGCCCCTGCCTTGGGCCCCACATTGAGGCATAGGTGGGGAAGAGTTCTTGCCCCTGCAACTCCCCAGAGCACCCATGACCCCTCACGGCTCTGTGACTCCTTTCTTCCTGCAGAGGGAGCCCCAGACCTTGGCCCTCCAGCAGGCATAATAAGATGTATGAGGGCCAGCTTCCTGCCCAGCCTCTCCTCCTTGACCCACTGTCCACTTACATTTTCAGCTGCTCCTGGTGTCTGCCATCCCCATCACAGCAGGGTAGGGTGTATGCATATCTACAGGAAGCAGTACATCTGTGCTCTGGACACAACCTACTACAACCAATTGGAATGAAAGCCCAGAAGGGCAGGAGTATTTGTTCTGGTCAATGAATTATGCTAAGTACCTAGAAAGGTGACTGTGTACCTTTACATATAGGTGCTTCATATATGTTTGTTGAATGAGTGAACCCCAGCCAGCACCTCCTCAGATACCTGAGTGGGCCTAGGCCCCTCTGCCAGTCCCTAGGACCCCTTTAGATGGAATCTCAAACCTGTCTTACAAATGCAGAAGTAGGGCTGGCCAGTTAGCTCAGCTGGTTAGTGTGGTACTGGCAATACCAGGGTCCAGGGTTTCATCCCTATACTGCCCAGCCACCAAAAAAAAAAACATGCAAAAACTGCTTTGCCCAAACCGAGGGGCCAGTGAGTTCTGAGACAGAGGCTGCTTCATGGGGGAGAGGAAAGTAACATGAACAACGCCAGTCCCTCCAGCAGCCCTTTACCGGGTAGGCACTTTCTATGGCTTGTCCTGACTGGTCCCTGCAATGGCACTCTGGGTTTGGTCCATTCGGCACCCCACTTTTCAGGGGAGCAAATAACTCAGGTGAAGTGACAGCTGTGAGCCACAGTCAGGGCTGGGTCACCTCTGCAGTGGACAGGTGGTGCTTAACCTCCGAGCAGCAGGTCCAGCACTTGTGTGTTTCTCCTCATCGCCCCTGCAGACTGTGAGCTTCTGGGGGCAGGGACCACCCAGGAGAGCCGCACTCAGGCCTTACATGGCCCCTACCCAGGGCAAGTATGCAGGCATAGCCACGGGATAGATTAATGAGGATCTCAACTCCCTGCCTTTGAGAAGCTCAGTGTGGGGATGGATGCTAGTAATAGAAGTGACGAGAGATAGAGCCAGGTGGTAGCCAGAATGAGCCTGGGGGCTCTTCCCAGGGTCTGGTTGCTCTATGGAGCACAGCGGGCACTGCTTCTCCCTGGTGATCAAGGGCACTGGGTCCCAGGCAAGTCAGAGGAAATAGAAGCTGAAGGGTAGGGTCACCAGGCCTCCAGGTAGCAGTCCTGTCCAGTGGGATCCTCCACCCCCCATCCAAGATCTTTTTGAACCAGGACATCATGAACTCAGAACACCAGATAGTTTGTATCAAAGAAAAAAGAGAGACATTTCCCCTCCAAGAAACTGAGCAGCAAACACTTGGAGATCAGGTTCACAAGATTTCTGCTTGAAGGAGGAGTCCCACCTCCAGGAGAGGGGACACAAAGGAAAGTGTGTGTCTGAGTCTAATCAGTGACCTGCTCAGCTTGAGGTTCTTGGTAGATGTCTGAGTGGAGAAGTGCAGTTACGATATATCTAAATATTTGTAATGACCCAGACACCACCCTGACTAGTGTTATGGGCTGAGTTGTGTCCTCCTCCCCCAATAAAATTTATGTTGCATTCTTAACCCCAAAAACTTTTAAAAGTTAACTATGTTTGGAGATAGGGCCTTTAAACAGATGATTAGATTAAAACGAGGCTGGGCCCTAATCCAATATGACCTGTTTTTATAACAAGAGGAGGTTGGGACATACAGAGACATACCAGGGGTGCTTGTGCACAGAGGATAACCACGTGAAGAAAACGTGAGAAGGTGGCCATCTGCCATCCAAAAGAGCCTCAGAAGAAACCAACCCTGCCAGAACTTTGATCTTGAACTTCCAGCTTCAAGAACTGAGAAAATAAATTTCTGTTGTTTAAGCTGCCCAGTCTGTGGTATTTTTACATTGCATCCCTAGAAAACTCATACAACTAGCCAACATGAAATCTAGAGCAATGTAATTGGCTTTCATTATTCATGCCAACGAGTTGAAACCAGTCTGTACTCCACCTAGGGTGGAGGTTGTATCATTCGTAACTTCTGCCAGAGTTAGTGATAAGCCTGTTATGGAGTTAATTGTGTTGCCCTTCCCCCAAATTTATATATGAAAGTCCTAATCCACATTACCTCAGAATGTGGTGTTACTTAATACCATTGCAGATGTAATTAGTTAAGATCAGCTTATTCTCAAATAGAGTAGACTCCTGTATTAGTTTGTTTCTGTTGCTTATAACAAAATACCTGGAACTGGGTAATTTATAAGAAAATGAAATTTAGTGCTTACAGTTTCCGAGGCTGGGAAGTCCCAGGTCCAGGGAACACATCTGGTGAGGGTCTTCTTTGGTATCAGCTTTCCAGCAATGCAGGGGTCTCACATGGAAGAAGATAGCAGAGCAGAGAGACTAACCTCTCACGTGCTCTGCTTTTAAAGCCTTCAGAACCACGCCCCTGACACCATTTTTAATCCATTCACTATGGCATGGTCCTCAGAATCTAATCACTTCAAGGCCTGCTTTTCTTTTTTTTTTTTTTTTTTTTTTTTTTTTTTTTTTTTGTTATTGACTGGTAAGGGGATTTCAACCCTCAGCACGGTGTTGTCTGCACCACGCTCAGCCAGTGAGCACACCAGCCATCCCCATATAGGACCCAAACCCGCGACCTTGGGGCTGCCAGTGCTGCACTCTCCCGAGTGAGCCACGGAGCTGGCCCAAGGCCCCACTTTTCAATTACCATAATAGGATTTCCCACCTTCTTTCCACTGTCACAGTGGGGACTAAGTTTTGGGAGGACATTCAACCCAAGGGAGCTCCTAATCCAGTATGGCTGATGTCCTTATAAAAAGGGGAAATTTGGTCACATACCACACAAAACATTGTGTGAAGACAAAGGCAGAGATCAGGGTGATGCTTCTACAAGCCAAGGAATGCCAAAGATTGCCAGCACACCACCAAAAGCTAGAGGAGAGACATGGAACAGATTCTCTAAGATCTGAATAGTCAACGTGGCCTCCTTTTTGAGGTCCCATCTGAGTCTGAATTTGAACCTTTGTTGATTTATAGAAGTAGGACCTTTGTGTACAGGCAAGACTCAGAATATGATTCCTAAAGTGCATGTAGTGTTAATCTGAAGCAAACAAGATCAGGTGTTCTTGCTACAAAAGTGGTATTTAGAAAGAACTTAAGGAGATCCAAGAAAAAGGGTGTTATTCACTACATGAGACAGAAATCAAGGCCTTATGTTAGCTGGTGAATGAGTCTGGTGAACACTAGTCTCTCACATGTGGCAAATACTTGACCCATTGCCCAATGAAGGTTGTGGAATTAAAACTTAGAATTTCCTAGGTTCATATCAATAGATTATAATAATAATTTGTTCTTTCTCTGGGAGAGAGGGACACTAACACAGTAACAGGTTGAATTGTTAAGGTCATTTGTCCATGTGGTGTAATTGGATATGCCATCGGCAATAATTTCCTGTGGTCTCATCTTATGAGACCAGAATTGCTAGGAGATTTTTTATCATGGGGATCTTGTGAATAGTTGGTAAGATGGAGGACAGTGGCTACTGTATGGGATAATCTAAGAATAGCATTATAATAAATATGTTCTGACCTAACAATTATCATAAAAAGAAAAGAAAAATGAAAAAGCTATGTTTCAGAAATGAAGGTGATCAGATGGTTAGAGCACAGTGTTGATAACACCAAGGTCAAGGGTTCAGATCCCTGTACGAGCCAGCCACCAAAAAAAAAACAAAAAATGAAGGTGAGATATAGACATACCCAGATTAACAAAACTGACAGATCTTGTTTCTGGAAGACATGTATTACAAAAAAATATAAAAAGAAGTTTTTCAGGCTAGAAGCAAGTGACCCCAAACAGTAATTCAAATTCACACACACAAAAAACATAGGGCACCAGTAAAGGTCAA